ATACAAATAAAACATTGTGAGCACACTAAAAAAAAAAGAAAGGAAGGAAGTAAATTATTGCTGACACAAAACTAAAAGGGCAGGTAGTGTATTGAATGACAACTAGATTTTGTAATGAAGTGAAAAAAAGAAAACAGGTATAAGAAAGCATGGACCCATACTGATAAGATTGTCCTTGATGGAGATTAAAAGATCAAATGGTAAAGCTTTATTAAACAAACATACTCACAGCTAGGGAAGAGTTAGGTTAGGGGTTTTTGGTTGACTTAGGTCAGTAGTGTGATTAACTGTCTCACAGAATTACTGCAGTCTTTGTTATATTTATATAAAATTTATGACATATATTTACCATGCATATATACATATATAAATTCCTGGGCTTCAGGTAATGTTCTGTTTTATCATCTAGATGCTGTTTATAAAGGTGTGTTGGGTTTGTGACAATTCATCGATGTGAACACATATGTGCATTTTTCGTATTATGTTGTACTTCAACAAAAAGATTTTTCAAAAGAAAAAGATAGCTCCTTTACACACTGTGCTGGCCAGACCATAGCTGGACTGTTATTTTTATAAATGTTTCATTTTAAGAAGTAAGAAGAGGAGGTATAAGTTTAAAGAGGAAGGGAGAAGAGCAATATAAGGGGCGATTTAGCCTGAAGAGGAGAAGGCCCATGGGGTGGAGTGGTCAGAGGCTTTGTGCAGTAGAATCAGCGATGGTGCCCTTTATAGCCCTGTCAGCCCTCACTGTGTAACTTGGGAAACTCACCTCTTCATATCCCAGTTTCTTCCGTTACAAATTGCAAGAGCTCAACCAGATAATCTGGGAACCCTTTACATTCTAAACTGCTGGACGCATTGAAAGGCGTGTACCTTAAAACGGGAAGGGTGTATTTCAAGTTTTCTTTTTTTTTGGCTGTGTTACGTCTTTGTTGCTGTGCGGGGGCTTTCTCTAGTTGCGGCGAGCAGGGGTTACTCTTTGTTGTGGTGCTTGCGCTTCTCATTCCGGTGGCTTCTCTTGCTGCAGAGCACAGGTTCTAGGCATACGGGCTTCAGTAGTTGTGGTGCATGGCCTCAGTAGTTGTGGCGCATGGGCTTAGTTGCTCTGCGGCATGTGGGATCTTCCCGGACCAGAGATCAAACCTGTGTCCCCTGCACTGGCAGGCAGATTCTTAACCACCGCGCCACCAGGGAAGCCCTGAAGTGTGTATTTTAATGGTTTGTTGGTTCCGCCCTTGTACTATTCTTCTGTATTGCATATATTCGTATGTATTACTTTAAACCTTTGTGAAATGGGATGGATAGTTAACATACACATATTTCCTGAAGCAGAAGATGCTATATTCACTTCAGGGGTGACTTTTACACAACAATGGTAACTTAGGACTTAATTTCCATGTAAAAATTGTTCTAGACCTACTAAACTTACTAACTGAAAGATTCATTGATTCAGAATCTATTTTTGATCAGAGATGTATTATTTTAAATTCTGATCCTAGCAAGTGACAATTGTTAGTCTTAGTTGAGATTATAAGCCTTAACAAATTTGTTCATTCTTAGGCAATCTCTAGAGTTGCATTAAATTACAAGCCAATCTATATGGTCCCCCAATGGATGACCGCTGGGAGATCCTCTAAAAACCTGGTGGCATTTCTACCTGGTATATGGTGGGAAGCAGTCAGTGCACTTTACAGCTTTTTTGCTTTCTCCCTCCCTCCCTTCGTCCCTTCCTTCCTTCATTCCTTCCTTTGTCCGCCCAGGTCAAATCCCAGGGGGCATTCATCCCTGGGCCTGCTGTGCTCAAGACAATTTTATTTTTCAATGAAACATGGTAATTTTCACATTTTATTGCCTTTTAATACTTTTTTAAATTGAAGTAGAGTTGATTTACAATGTTTCAGCAAAGTGATTCAGCTACACACACACACACACACACACACACACATCCTTTTTCAGATTCTTTTAGATTATAGGTTATTACAAGATATTGAATATAGTTCCCTGTGCTATACAGTAGGTCCTTGTTGTTTATCTCTTTTATATATAGTAGTGTGTATCTGTTAATCCCAAATTCCTAATTTGTCCCTCCCTCCACTTTCCCCTGTGGTAACCATAAATTTGTTCTCTATGTCTGTGATTCTCTTTTTGCTTTGTAAATAACTTCATTTGTGTCATATTTTGGATTCCATATATGTGATCCTATGCTATTTGTCTTTCTCTAAGTATTTTACTTAGCATGATAATCTCTAGGTCCATCCATGTTGCTGCAAACGGCATTATTTCATTCTTTTTTATGGCTGAGTAATATTCCATTGTATATATATGTGCCACATCTTCTTTATCCATTCCTCTGTTGAGAGACGCTTAGGTTGCCTCCATGTCTTGGCTATTGTAACTAGTGCTTCTATGAACACTGGGGTGCATGTATCTTTTTGAATTAGAGTTTCTGTCTTTTCCAGATATACGCCCAGGAGTGGGATTGATGTATCATATTGTAACTCTATTTTTCTTTACCTGATTGACTTAGTAAGCGGACATATATTCAGGGGTTAAGGCCAAGGGTACCAGAGCCCCCCCCCCCCCCCCCAGTAAATGCTTGTTTACTCAGTGGCAAGCACTCGGGCAAAATTCAAGAGCTGTAACGGGCAAGTCACTCCCCCATCTGAGCCATCGAAGTAGAGATAAACTGGTGCTTACTTAGAAATATGCCAGCCATAGTAAGTGCTCAAGCTGTGTTAGCTCCAGAGGGCCCTCCCCCGGGGAAGATGGCAGCCAGCCCCATGGAGAAGTCCCCAGCCCAGCACAGGCCCCGAGAACAGAGGAGCGACAGCCGATGGGGGAGCCTCCAGCGTGGGTGGACGGTTCAGCCCCGTCCTGCTCGCGCAGCACGGTGTCCAGTGGCCGCCGAGGGGAAGGGGAGGTGAAGAGGCCACGCATGCACCGGTGGGCCAGCGATGGCCGGACACAGTGGCCGCACAGACGCAGCCGCTGCCAGTGAGCAGGGCGCACACGCTGCACCCAGTGGGGCCCATTGGACAGCTGAGCTGCCCCACTCCGGGTCAGACCATCCTGTCCTGTTTGACGGGGAGCTTCAAAAAGGCAGCTCTTTTTTTTTTTTCCAAATAGTTATTTATTTGCCGTGCTGGGTCTTAGTTGTAGCATATGGGATCTTCAGTTGCGGCATGTGGGATCTTTGGTTGCAGTATGCGGACTTCTTAGTTGCAGCATGCGTGCGGGATCCAGTTCCCCGACCAGGGATCGAACCCGGGCCCCCTGCATTGGGAGCTCAGAGTCTTACCCACTGGACCACCAGGAAAGCCCCCCAATAAGGCAGCTTGAAACTGGAAATGTCCAAATCACCGTGATTTGGTGATTGGGTTACATTTTCCAGTACTGGTAGAAACTGGAGCTTGTGAACTTAGTTGTATTCAATTATAGAGAAATACCAGTTTCACATACATCTGCATATCCAACTTTTGTGGACTACCAGTTACGATACTGGTAAAGTTGAGGCTTGCAAATTGTAGAACTAAAGTGATTTTATATTTGCGGGAACGTAGCTTGAAGAACAGAAGGGCCACCATAATTCTAATCGCAGCTCTTATTCAAGAAGATACTTGGTTCTGTGGGGTTTCATAAAGGGGAGGAAAAAAAACCCTCCCAAAGCAGCGAGGCAGGTTTTCATATCCTAGCTTGATGCTTCTCACGTATGGTTCCTGGACCACCTGTGTGTGAATCTCCTCGGGGAGGACGCAGTCCCCAGGCCTATCCGCAGATCCCCGAGTCAGTAATCAGTGGAGATTTTTCAAGCTGGTGGTGGTGACTTCCTTTCTCTCTCCCCTCTCCCATTCATCTCCCTGCGCTGCAACTAAACTCTGTGATTTTTACCCCAAACCCCTCAAAACCTGTACTCTTGCTTAAAACCACAGGACTCCCACTCTAATTATCGTCTGACTCACAAGCATCAGTGGAGGGGTGGTCTGTTTTCAGGGTAGCAGCACCGTCCAGCACAACTTTCTGTGATGATGGAAATGTTCCCGCCTCTGTCCCGTCCAATAGGGCAGCCACCAGTCACCGGCGGCTCCTGGGCACTCGGAATGGGGCAAGTGTGACTGAGGAATAAGTGTGTACTTTCATCTTATTTAATTGCTTTAAATTTAAACAGCTTGGGCGTGACAGTGATGATGGCTGGACAAGAGCATATCTGGGACACTTTGGAGTCGACTGGACGGGCCAGGGCAGGCTTGGGGAGGCCTCTGGGGCTCTGGCCGGAGCTGCTGGGTGGGAGGGGGTCACTTAGGGAATAGGGAAGGGTGGGGGAAGGAAGTGACGTTGGGGTGAGGAGTCACCAGCTCCAAGACAGACATCTTGAGAATGTTCGTGAACATACAGCCAACTCCTGCTGGTCTGGGACACACAGGTTTCTCCAGGTGACTTCGCTGATCTCTGCTCTGATTCGTATAAATCTTGCCTGAAAGGCAAGCGTTGGAGAGCTGGAGCTTAGTTTCCTGTCCCTCACACTTTCCTCATCAGGAATAATGTTCCACGCAAAATTCCTAGTTTGCTAACGTCTTACCTATAGGATCTTCTGGTCTTTTGAAAGTTTGAACGTGTTGTTCATAGGAGCCTTTTTACAAATGGAGCTGAGATACTTGGAAAAGTCTATAACAACGTGTTCATAATATAGTTGATTACCACCGGAGGACACCATTTGGGATTATTCCCATGACAAAGCTTCTTCTAGTCTAATTCAGAACTCTCTAGGCTGTGCTATCCCGTATATTAGCCACTAGCTCCATGTGGCTATATGAATTTAAACTCTTTAAAATAAAGTAAACGTTCAGTAGTTCTTCGGCCACACTCACCCCACTTCAAGCGCTCAGCAGTCACATGTGGCTGGCGGCTGCCATACCGAACCAGGCACAGCCCCCTCTAACACACACTTCAAATCATCTAGGGGCTAAACGGGTCCTAAGACAGACAACTAGTAGGCAAATGAGTTACTCAAAGAATATCTAATGGTAATAGCTGTAGCATAAGAGAACAAAAATGCAGGTACACAATTAGACCAACTGGGGGTAGGCTCAGGCCGAGCAGGAGAGCCCTGATTTCTGTGCCACGAAATCGAAAGGATCAGGGTATCTGATGAGCTAAAAACCAAACACAGACAGAAGACACGGAGCAGCCTTGTTTCTTCAGAATGATCAAAAGTTTTCTATATGAAATTTTAAGGATAAAGGTGAACCTGATTCTGATTTTAAAGACTTAAATGTTTTTAAAAAGCTTTAAACAGAGGACAACTTGTACGATGCAACTCTGATTTTTAGGGGAAATTGTTCAATGTAACAGAAGATGTGATGACTTTAAACATTATGATATAAAAATGCATTCCAAATCTTCATGATCTTCTCGAGACAAGAACCGTCAAAGATGGGAACGGGAGCCCAGTACCCTCTCGGCCACCAAACAGACCTGCTCTGTTCAGACCACAGTCAGGTTGGCTCAGGTATTTTGGGACCTGGAGCAGAAGATGAAAGGTTTTCCCAGAACATCTTGGGATCACAGAATTTGAAATTTCAGTATGTCTAACGACATGATAGTTATAATACTCGCATGAGGAGAAACTGGGCTATTTAAATGAAAGCTGAAACGTAGTCATTTGGAGTTGGTAAACTAAGTTTCAAGGAAAAATTACATACTAATTCTGGGGTTTTGACACACTGTCGTATATTTTAGAAAAGTCAGCTAATTTATTTGGACCATTTCCCCAACTGAAAGATGGGTGTCTCACAGTTAAAAATCTTGAAGAGTTGGTGATAAAGTAAAGAAAAGTCCTTGATAAAGTTGAAAGATTTTGCTTTTGAGATAATAAGCAAAAAAGAGGGAAAAGTTTAAAAACGTATTCATTTCTCCTTTGTTTAATCTCTGCAATCCCTATCTCACTTTGCAATGCTGTAGGCTATATGTGGATGCAGCTCCTCTGTGGCTTCAGAAGTCTTCAGGTAGCCCAGTTTGGTCAAACAGCATGAAGTTGAGAGTCCAGAGAAATGTAACAGATAGATGGAGATTTTGCACGGAACAGCGTTAAGTACTCTGAATCTTGAGAAGAACCTGCGAATGAATCCTTGGTGCCTCGAGACCGTGGTGAGGCAGGCTAGGCCCTGGGGGTCAGAGAGGCCTGGTTGGATCCTAGCACCTTGGCTTTTAATAGCTGGGGGACCCGGGAGAGTCATCAACCTGCCGGAGCCTCAACTCCCTCATCTGTAATATGAAAATGAAGAGCCAGGGGAAAGCTGGCCTGTGGGTGTGAAATCTCTTTCTAAAGTGAGGTGTGCCTGACAATTTCTATCACCATCCAGATGAGAGGAGAAGATGAGCCAATCTTGGTGGCTGCTCTGAAGCACACGTCGAGACCCAGAACAGCATCTGCCCAAAGGCAAGTCCTATCTGACCCAATGGCCACATTCAGCTGAGACCATAGACAACTCTGCCAGCGCCCAGCGTTAAGTCCCTGCCGACGAGCGTGGACGCCTGCAGACACTGCCGTGTCCCTCTCGTGCAAGCCTGCGAGCCAAAAACTAAGTGACAGAAAGAAGCAGTGACTAGTTTAACCCTTTAACAAAAATCAAAGAAAAATGAAAATGATTTGGAAATGGCAACAGTTTAATTGAACCCATTTACTGGCATCTACCCTGTCTGAAAAAGGAAAGCAGCAATTTTCTGACTGTTCTTATAACCTGACAGTGAAACTGGTTCACACAATGAAAACGTACATAATCCAGTGTCAAAAACTGGTGATTTACAGAAATCACCCCCATTTATTTTTCCCAGCAAAGAGGAGAAAAACAAACACGTTTCCACAATTCAGTGTTTGAATCACTGGCAAAAACTGTCTGCCTCATTCAACGTTCCCGGCCACGAGCTCCGGGAACACTCTGATGGCCACGAACCTCCCGTGGTTCAAACGAAACGGAGAGCCCACGCATGAGGGTTATGTGAGTTGAAGACAAGATGCCTTCTCACAATGTGCCTAAAAAGAAGGTCTTTGAAGAATACCCAGATCTTCAAAGGAATGAAAACACTCCTGTTCTGTTGTTGATTTTTGGTTTTGGGAATAAACTTTCTTCACTGGGAGGAAGGGGTTGTATGACTTTGTAAGTGGAAACCAAGAGGCCGCTGGCTAATACGTATGCCTCCCCTCCCACAGGGCTCTTCTGTCGCCCCAACACCCTCTTCCATGAATTTTGTTATGGTTCGGAAAGGTAAGGAAAATGACTTCAAGTATTCGATTCCTATCAAAAATTGGTATCAAAAGTAATAAAGGACCTAATTTCTTTATAATTCCATGTTTTAAAAAATAACTTAAGAAGCAAGAGGTCCGGCCCTTTACTTGTATAAATACCACAGCGTAACTAGAGTTTCTTAAGACAACGTGGGGAGGAGTCCGTGTTGAGCACCTCGATCATTGATCTTAACGTTGGGAACGTCTCAGACACGGACGGAAGAGTCTTATAAGAAGGTGAGATACTGAAAAAGAAAAACACAAAGCAAGGGTGTGAAAATCAACACAACTGTACAAAAAAGGCAAAGCTTACGGTCTATTAATTCCTATTACGATATTCACTTTCCAGTACTCCCCACGCACGACAGCAGACAATGTTACAAAGCAGGGGGCGCTGTGAACAGAGCAGGCCCTGCTGCAGTGATGATGTGGGGTACGGGCAGGCTCCCACCACGAGCTGCTGGGAAGTTCAGCCAGTCTTCAGAAAGAAAAATCAACCCCTGATTTGCACAGTGAGCGTTACGCACACACGTCCCACTGGGGCGCATGCTGGACACGGAACCGGAAGACACAGGTTTCGGGTCCAGCCTTGACCCTTATCAGCTTTAGGGGTTCCTCTCAGCCCCGCTTCCCATATCTGCAGCAAGAGGGAGAGGGTTCCTAACTCCCAGAGCTAGCAGGAGCACGGGACGGGTGTCAAGGTACGCTGTGAAACGGCAGCTGTACAACGTAGGGTAGTATTGCTATCTTTTCCTTAAAGAGTTGTTGAAAGATCAACACAGTAAAATGATGTAGGAAACAGAGGCGAGGGCTTTGACCTTATGGTCGTGTCACTAAAACATGTGTAAACTAGTAAACGTGAAACAAGAATATACCGCAACAAGGTGTAGCTGTTAGGAGTTTCCATTACAGAGCTCATGGGATCCTTGCAAACCGGACAAAAGTGTCCTACAGACACAAATTTCTGTTTTAAACAGAGCACAAATTATCCAGCCACTTTTAGAGAGGTTGCTGTGTTCAGTAGGTAACGAAAGGCAGACTGGAAGTGGTTATGATATAAAGGAATAAATAAGGTTGAACAGTGAGATCTGCTTATTCTTAACTAACTCTGAAAGCATCTGTGAGTTTAATTTCATTGCAAATTTACACGTTCCCCGTGGTGCTTCGGAAAACAAGGGCCAGGAAAGATCAGAGTCTGCTAGGCTCTCCCACCGTAATCGTCAGGGGTAATTTCTGGCTAGCATTTCCTGACTCACGTGTATTCCGCACCTAAATAACAATGAAGTATCACCTTCCCAAAACCTAGAGTGCAGGAAAAATGCAGCTGAAAGGCAGGCACTACCACCCAGACTCAGTCTGAATCGGGTGCAGCTCAGCGTTCAAAGTCGCTCCCGAATACTGACCCTGAGAGTCTGGGACAAAGGGCGGATTAGGCAAGAGATATGGATATCTGACTATATAAATAAGACATTTGTAACCCTTTCTTCACAAACTGGTTCCCTTACTCTATTCATTATTCACGTTTATCCATATACTCACCTGTTAAGGGGTCTTACGCGACAGCAAAAACATTTTAACCTTGAAAAGTGGATTCAATTCATTGTATAATCATAACTCATAAAAATGAGTACAATTCCAGTTTCACGACGCTCGAAAAGTAACGGGGAGCCCCTTCTTTCCCTTTTCAGTTGTAACATCCTTTTGTTTGACCCCTATCCAGCAGTTACCTTTTCAAGTTCATCCAGCTTTTAGCTATTTTGCTAAAGGCCTCTGAACCAGGGGCGGTCATAGCTTCAAAGTCAACCAACTGAAAAAGAAAGAAATTTAACAATGTGATCAAACATGGAGGGGAAGCTCCCTTTGGGATCCGTTGCATTCGTGTGTCTCAACACAAAACTCCACAGATTGGGATTTAAACGTTTCCCTTCCAGCTCCAGCTCCGACATACCTTCCCTTTGGGAATTTTTCCTGCTACTTCCTTTCCACTCGCCATCAGGGCTCCCACAATCACTGAGTAAGCGATCACACTGTTTAGGTAAAGAACAATTACCGGTCAGTCCCAGGCCACGGACAGTTACCACGTTAGAGCTTACCACGGATTTTCCATCCTAAGAGATGACATTTTATTTCTCTTAAGAATTCTCTGGACATTAAACATAAGAATATTTTCATTTGCCTTAAAAATATTTACTAATTTACTAATAAAACTATTTACTGATTTACTAGTTTCAGGGTAAACGTGTAAGAATAATATTTTTCTGAGAACAAAGAGTATCTTCTAATTAGGAGTTTTCTCCTCACTTGGCTTTTCTCTTCTTGTGAAAGAGTGAATTAGAAAATGTGCCTGCTTATATTTTTAACACCTTCATGAGGCGTGGCTTTAAAACGCAATATATACGATATACTTTGTAAATGCAAACATATTAATATTATCGTTTAAACATTAAACGCTGTGGCCCCGAAGACGAAACAAGCAGAGCGCGTTTGCAGAACGCACTCACAGACTGGCCCGAAGCCGGCTGCGCTACGGGGACATCCCGGCGTGTCCGGACTCACTCTGGATCCTGACGTCTTTGTGGCACCAGCTCTGTGCCCTGTGCCAGGCAGCCCAGGACGAAGACAACTAAGACAGACGTCTTGCCCCGGCGAGCGGACACCAGAGAGAGTGAGCCCGCCCCGGGGTCGCCTGCCAGGGAAGCCCTCACTGAGGCCGCGGCCACGTGCGCTGCACCTTCGAGGGCCACGGGTGGGGCCCCCGAGGCAGAGGAGGGGGAAGCGGACCGGCAGTGGGGGGAGGAGACAGGAAGGTGTGGGCACGGGCTGGGGGCGTGGGGAGGCAGAGAGCAGGGCGGCACAGCCGCCGTGAGGACACGCGCGTGCACAGCGCCTGCGAGGGCGGCGGGCGGAAGGCGGCACGTGGAGGGCATCGCGGGCACATCTAATGACGACTGTCCCGAAGGCACAAGGTTTATGTTCCCATTTTGTTTCAATGCCGTCGTTACCGTTATGTAAGTTCCGTGTAAGGGCACGCACCCGTCTACACCGGAGTGCTCACCACAAGCCTAGTTTCCATCCATCACCACACAGGGGACCCCCTTCGCCCATGTCGCCCACCCGCCCCCAACGCTTTTGTCATATTATAACAACATTTACTACCACATTTTGGAGAGTTTTACTTTCTAAAGTAGTACTTAAAGATCAAGACATTTAAGTGTATTACTTTAGCCAAAGCGTCTTAAAGTCAAACATGTGCTAACGATGGCATACGCCATTCGCATGATTTACTGTACACGGTACCAGAGAACAGGGAAGAAAAAGAAAGCTCTACAGATGCATCCCTGTTTGAATGACACCTGAAAGATGCCTGGTGAATTCAGTAAGTAGCAAGAATTCATTCATAATAACAAAAGTACTTTGCAATGATTGGTGACCCAAAAGTATTAAACGTTAGGGCTAAAGGTCAATTAATGGCCAAAACTTGGGGGCGAGGGGAGAACAGGGCAGGGTACAGTCTGGGCAAATATCAGGAATTAAAGCACAGGGCGCACACGTGCGCACACAGTGCGACTTCGAGCTCCAGCCCATAAACGCCAAGCACCTTCTTTTAAAACTACCTTCCAAGACTCTTGGTGATGCAGTAGATCAAGGACATCATGTTTGGGTGGACTTTGAAAAAAACCAAGGGGTCTTCCCGCCATTGCTGGGGTACCTGTACCCAGGGCCACACAGGAGATGTAAGCAAAAGGAGTGCGTTCTTCACTCCAAAAACTGTCAGATTAGAGGATATCACTCACCTGGATCCGCGAGAGAGCGGCATTAAATTATAAAAGTAATAAACTAAAGATAAGATTAAGTTGCCAACAGCATCAGTCTCCTAGGGAAAAAAAAAAACCATGTGCTTATGAACTTAAATAACAGATTATGAACTCATTTCTTATCAGGTGACAAGACACATCAGAAGCATTTACATTAGGAAGAGGATTATTTCCTTCTTCTTCTACAAGAACCTACTTTCCACATCCTTGAATATTTTATACTCTTCCCAATGATGTTTTTTCTCACGAGAGGGTATACATTCAGCTCGGTTTAGAGCAGTACGTCCCCAGCTGCCTTTAAAACTGCAACCGTTTCTGATAAACCTAGACATCTGTTTCAGTCTATAATGTTACTTGAGATGTCGACATATACATTGAGATTAAAATAAAACAAAGCACTTATTAATACTGAATACACTTTCTCAGACTACAGGCCTCTCTACTCCAGGGTTCTGTCTAGTGCCCTACCCCCACCCACTGAGATTTAGGTGATCAGTATACCTAATTTATGGGTATAAACTGATTAAGATCCTGAGAAACAAAGTAACTTCCCAAGGGCCACGGGCATCCATTCCAGAATGCGGATGGAGTGGCCGCTACACTCTCCACACAGTGGACAGCTACAGCGACGGAGGTGACGTTGCAGCTCCTGCAACCAAGGAGCCCCACCTTGAGTCGGGGAAGCAACGGAGGGCAGAGGTCACAGTCCAGGAGAGTGTCACTAAATGCAGCACAGGTCATGTCCATCGTGGACCAACCTGTTCTCTTAAATCTTGACAAAGCCCAAATTTCTGATACTATGACACAGTCACTACATACATGTATCATTCCCCTTCCCCAGTTTCTGTACTTACTAAATACGGGAATTGTCTCTACAAGAATATTAAAAGAAATATTTACCACTCAATTAAAGCTGATTTCAAGCATAAACTGTGTAATCCCAAGGAAAGGGTAAAGGCTTTAAGCAGTGTACAAAAGAATCAGAAGAAGCATGGATAAAATGAAGATAAACGAAACCTACCCCAAATTCTGATGAGAGAATCAGTACTTTTCCTTTCGCTGTTAGATCTTTATAAAGTGCATCTATTTCGGCGTGATATAACTGTGTCCTTTCTTCTGTGGTCTGGGTTTCCACGGAAAATAGTATATTGCCTACCCTAAAAATACAAGAAGGTGTGTCGAAGGCACGTATGATATGGTTCAAAGAGCTAAGCACAGAAGGGTGGGGAGGGCAGCGTGGCGACGGGGGCACAGGACGCAAGGAAGACTGTCTCTGCCTCTCTGAGCAGACAGATGGGGCGTGGCTCACAGCAGGCAGCTTTTCCACAGAATACGGTTTTGCTCAGTCTAACTGTAGGCCCTGCTTACATGAGCTTCAGCTAACACAGGAGGAGGAAACTACACAGAGTAGAATGTATTTCAATGCCCAGGAAACATTTTATCAGACAGCCACCCTATTACAATAGAAGAGCAGGGGCCGGGGCTGTGCCCTGAAAGCGAGTTCAGGGCCTCCGCTGTTTCCTTTTCTATTAAGCTTCTGCTGCATGAGCTCCACGTGAGGCTCTGTGGAGGATATAAATTCTATGCAACAGGTAGTTACTGGATAACGCCGGTACCCAAACGCTGAAAATACTCCTCAGACCCTCTAAGGGACAACACAGCAGAGCTGCCACGTTGCTGGAGGGACGGAGGGGGAAACGAGGCCACAGACTGTGATGAGCCCATGCGTAGAGCCGTAACAGTTCATCAGAGGTCTCAAGGAGAGAGAGTTGATCTACTCTGGAAGACATGGAAGAAAACAGGAAATGCTTGCGGAGGAAGGGGCCTGAGCCTGGGTCTTGAAGAGGAGGACGGCGATGCCAGAGGCGCAGAGCCAGGAGGTGGGAGGTGACCTCGGCGAACAAGCAGTCCAGCTGAATTAGCAGGCCAGGCGCTGGCAGGAAAGTGCTTCAGGGAGGCAGGAAGCGTTGTTTGAGGCCATGATTACAAAAGGCCTGAATGTACGGCACGGGGGCCGATTTTGGTGTCAACAGGCCACGGCAGGGTATGGACTGGGGAGGGAGTTCTGCAGCCACGGGGGCGCCCCACGGACCCGGCCTTAGGACCCGACGATGCACGGGTCAGCCACAGGAGACCGGAGATGGAGGCATGGGTCATGAGTAGGGGTCAGAGGTCCCGAGCGAGACTGACAACAAATGGGGTGAGACAGACAGCTGAGCAAAGATGCTGCGTTTCAGGGAAGGACTTATGGACTCTTACTCGGCAGTTGCATTTCTGCCTGGGTGAAGAGGTAGGAGAAAAAAATTTCACCTCGACAGAAAACCCTGGAATTCCTTCTTGGGGGAGGATGACCCTTATTGGGAAAGTACTTTGATAAGTGGCTTGGGTTAGAGATGGAGACCTCAACGACGTGGCAGAGTCACAGAATCTGGAAGTTGCTAAACGGGGGTTTCCTCATGAAGGCCTGTGTAAGTTTGGACAAGGAAACCAGAGCCCAGCAGGGGCTGAGAGGACATGGCTCCCACCGCTGAGCTGCCGGAAGTCCCTGATGCAGAAGTGGTGGAGCCTCCTAGGGAAGCAAATGAGGAGTGCGGTGTTTTGGGGACGGCAGTGAATGGAGAGGGTCAAGGTCATTCCACCCAGAACTCAAGGGATATGGAGGCTCCTAGGTGAAGTTTGGATTTCAGATGTAAAGAAAATGATCATTAATAAAAACGGTCGCTGCGGCGCTACTACTGATAAGGTGAAAAAATGGGAAACACCCTGAATGATCAATGACAAAAAAATTAGTAGGAGCAACTCTACAATATCCCTAAAATGGAATACTATGCAATTTTTTAAAATGCTTCTAAGAATAGGATATGGGGAAATGTTGGTAGTAAGGGTAGAAAACAAACAGGTTGTAAAACAATATGTACAGTATAATCTCAGTTTTTAAAGGAAACAATGATTTAAAATTTTTAATCTTTGCTTATCTGTATTCTAAAGTTTCAATAAGACTGCACTTATACTCTCATACTACTTTTTAAAACCTATATTTAAAAATCCAATAATAGCCTTCAACCTGCCAATCTCTCATCTTTTTTCCATTTAATTAGTAAAAGTCTTACCCACGACAAACTTCAAGAACCTGGAAGAATGCTTTCCACAAACCACATGAGACATTATACTTGGTATCTAGAAAGCGGTTAGATTCGGCACAGTCAGAAAATCTACCTGCTGCTGTAATAATCTAAACGTCACGCTAAAAAGAAAAAGAAAAGCTGGTTCTCGTTACACACTGGACCTTGATCATCTCCGTTTTAGGAGACAGCCAAAGCCCAGGAGGTCCGATCTCCCGCAGCAGCGCCAAGCGTCTGCATGCCTTCTGACACCAGCCCCCGTCTGCGCACCCGCACGTGGGAAGCACACGTACTTGTCTCCTGTAATAGTGATCGTGAAGCCGTCATATTCCTTCCCTTGGTCTTTGAGGCTGGGAACTTTTGTGTTCACAGTGAACCCATCCTTCGTTTTAGTATTAAACTGCTTTCGGGGAAAAAGAAAATTCACGTTACTGGTGAGATTCACTGTAAATTCCCAGCTGCCACTGTGCAGCGCCGACTCCGACGTTCATGTCTTTAAGAAGGGTCACGGTGTGCCAGACACCGTGTATTCTCTGTCCTGGCCCCATGCCCCAACCCAGACTCCCAGCCCAAGTCACGCTCCCCGTGGCCCCTGCCAGAGGGCAGCAGAGAACCTCAGAGCAAAAGGCGCACAGCCTCCCTGCAATGGCAAGGCCCTGCTCACTGCTAAGAGCTCCCTTGGGGTCTTTTCTCTTGTTCATCTTAAGCGGCAGCCACACTGATACTTTGCAGCATACTTGTATTCAACAGCCTATAATTCGAAAGAGCACCTTGTGTTTATTCTACTGCTTCTTCAAAGTAGACTCTCATCTGTCTGCAAATACTCAGAATTTTGTCACCTGAGAATTTTATACACACGCGTGCCCACACCCCAACTCCGCAGACCACAGAGTGACAAAGCAAAGTATTCTAAAGGAATTACACAGAGATCAGAGTGGCCCTTAAGGGTGATGAGTATGAACACGGCTTTCTGTTGAAAACACTTTTGGCAAAGTGAAATGCCAATAAATTACTCCAGAAAAATCCTCCCCAATTCGGTTATTTAGTGTAGCCAACATTTTTTTAGGATTGACGGACCTGAATAAGAGAATCAATGGTAAAATTAAAAGAGGTCGTGCTTCGCATAAGATACTGGAGGGAAAGTTTGCCCGAAAACAGCGACAGCCAGCAGGCGTTCACCAAGGTCCAGAGAACGACATAGATGAAGGGACGTCAGCAGGAGAGCGGGCGGCAGGGGCCGAGACGGGAGGTGTCCCGTAGGAGGACAGAGACTTGTAGAGGCAGAAGGCGCTAACACTTAGTATGTGCCAATGCTCTTTCATGCCCACAGCATGCCCATAAGACAGGACACGACCTCCATCTTACAGGTGAGGAAACCAAGTTGGTGAGATGAGGTGAGGTCTGGCCCGAGCTGGCACGAGGGAGTGGCAGAGTGGAAGCAGGGACCCAGGCCCTCTCGACGTCCAGTCCCCTAACTTACTAACCAGCTGCCCCGAGGGGAGCTGAGGTACATCTGAACTTGGCTTTTCAGAAAGCAAAAGTGAATGTGCTGAAAAAGTACACGTACTTTTCAGCAAAAGTACCTATATCTCAGTGGAGGCTGTCACGGCATCATATTCACCAAGCACTTTAAACACAAAGGCGTATTTTTACATACTTCTACGTGTGCCTTTAGAAAGGCCAGTGTGCCCACAGCCTGGCTGGAGGTGCGGTGCAAAACCACAGTGGGATGGCCACTCCCAGATGTGGCCAGACAGGCAGTGACTTTGCACTGGGAGCCAGGCACTGGGCGGGCGATGCCCGGCCCCTTAGCTGCTCTCCAGGCGACTGCAGCCTTTTCTCCATTGTGCTTTTCTTTTTAGACCAAGATATACATATATTAAAATATCCCTAAGCTGATTTTGTATTCTGCCTAATATAGTAAATTTAAATGCCTAAAATACCCACAGGACAGCTAAAGACTAAAACCTGAGTCAGGCTCTAGTTTTCTTTCTGTCTGGTGCATCCAGCGGCCCTCGGTGCGGCCCTTCTGCCCCTTCAGGGGCGTTTGGGGAATTTATAGGATAATGTGGTGGCTGCGGGGATGAGGTGCTGGGGACGGTCACACAGGCGCGACTCCCACTGGACTTCCGTGTAGATGAAGAACGTGTTTATAATGTAATGATTATCTAGGCCTGGAACCAGACTCCGTTTTACACTCACACGCTAAATATTTGTTACAATTTTAATACACACTGACTTTCCTAGGAACGCAAACAGCATATACATTGAGGAAAGAGGATACTATACATTGTGTGGAACTTTATTAAGTGTGGTTTACCATTACAGAAAACCGTTATCGCCAACATCGTAGCTCGTGATACTTGAGTCACCAAATGACACATGGATACAGGGCTGCATCTGTCGCTGTCACGTTCACCAAGATTATACACATATGTGCAAGCAACTGGCTACTTCTTTGTGGCTTCTCATGAAGACATGCCTGAATGTTGACACACTGAAATACATGGTTTTCTACTATAAACAACTTACCTTTTAGAACTCCCTTACGGCACTGTGGTGACTTTTGAAATAATTTTTTGAGTAGGTGGGATACATCCTTTATGAATTTCATTCTAGTGCAGTAAAGGGGCCATCTGAACATGTTTACTGAGTTAAGACGGGTCTGAGAAGACTGAGAACCACTGCCTCAGTTCATGAGACCCTCACAACGAGCAGGTCAGCCGGAATCACGGCTCTCCAACACATGAGAGCCTGGGATGAGACCGGGAGAGCCTGTCAAACCCGGCGAGCAGACTGGACCCTGGGTACAGAGTCAGCTCACGGCTTTGTCCATGACGGGATGCTTCCTGGTTATTCTTTAGAAATGGATAAGCTTTGGTCAGTCATAGAAATTTCTTAATGTTTATTTGATGTAAATCAATCTCATCTACTATAGCTACAAGGAGAACATTGATTCAAGTTTTATGTTATAGTTCAAACCATTAGCTGAAAAAAACCAAACCAACCTGCTGCTGGTGCATTATGGGTAGTTATGTTCCTAGATGGAGAAAAGGTGCATAAAATTATAACTTCTTAATGGATTGTACTTTTAAACAATATAATTGCTGTCCCCTGACACGCCCTTTATCTTGAATTCCAATGTTTCTGATACTGATACTGCCACACCTGCTTTTCTTCAGTAGCATTTGCCTGCCTACCTTTCCGCCTTCAACGTTTTGAATGTCATCTCGTTGTAGGTGTTTCCTGTGAACAGAACCTAGCTGGGCTTTAAAATACCGATCTGAGATGCTCATTCTTTCAGTGAGGGATCGATTATTAACGTCATGTTGAGACCCAGCATCCATTACAGACATTTCCTCCTTACCTTTATCCCCCCTCTCTTTCTGTAAGCTTTTAGTTGAACTGACTTTGTTTTCTTTATTCCATTTTCCTACCTTCTAGGGTCCGTTTTGTTTTATTTTCGTTATTCTGCAGAACGTGTTTTTATCAGTGTTTTCAAGTAGCACACTTTATAAAACTTAAAATACTTGTTAACAAACAGGCATTTAATAATTACGAGTTCGTTTTGTAAAAAGTACCGGGCTTCCCTGGTGGCACAGTGGTTAAGAATCCGCCTGCCAATGCACAGAACACGAGTTCGAGTGCTGGTCCGGGAAGATCCCCCCATGCCACGGGGCAACGGAGCCCGTGCGCCACAACTACTGAGGCTGCGCTCTAGAGCCCGCAAGCCACAACTACTGAGCCTGCGTGCCACAACTGCTGAAGCCCATGAGCCTAGAGCCCGTGCTCTGCAACAAGAGAAGCCACCACAATGAGAAGCCCGCGCACCGCAACGAAGAGTAGCCCCCGCTTGCTGCAACTACAGAGAGCCCGAGCCCAGCAACGAAGACCCGACGTAGCCAAAAGTAAATATAAAAATAAAATAAATAAATTTTTTTAAAAAGTACTAACTGTTTCCCCTAAAAACGCCTACTGCGATTTTGATGATAAATTTACCTTCATAATTGGAAGGAGGTCTTCCACTTTGTGGACCTTTTCCAGAGCTTCTCTAACTTCCAACAATCCTTTAGGATTATTAGCTCTTAAAAAGGGAAAGAGAGATGGCAACTAAAATTAATACAGAAATTAATAATTATGCTCTCACCTTTAATTTAAATAAATCATCCTTAATTACTAGTGGCTTTGTTTGTGGCTAAACCACAAACAAAGTTTTGAAATAATGGGATGGTTTAATCTAATGAGTATTGGGCTACAGATGAGAATTAAGGAAACAAGAGAGCAGTCTGTCTAGAATGTGAACTGGGGAAAACCTGAAAGGATGGACAGCCAGCGTCTGTGTGGACATGCATGGGTCTGGGCTTGGTCAGAACACCTTGATCCTCCTATTCCAACTATGAAATTAGAAGTGAGTGTTTTTTCTTCCTAAAGTTGCTCAAATGGAAGTACCCTACTAAGCTCTTATACCAATTTTATATTTACCTGGTGAGCTAACATTCAGAATTCCTTCTTCCCCAGCATTCTGTCCGCTGTCCTGTCAATGCTGTACTGCCTCTCAGTTGAGGGAGAATGAGTATTAAGGCGAAAATCCCTCACTTAATCCCGAATTAAGAAATTCAAGGAAACATCCTGCTTTGAATTCAAAGAAAGCCTAGACGCTTTCAAAGAGGCTAGAAAAGTCACAGCAATGTGTGTAAGATAAAAATACTCGGTTAAGGTCCATGGATTTTGTGGAGCTCTTAAAAAGAAGGTTGATAAATGATTATGAAAGGTTTTATGGTTCCGAACAGTATGTAAAAATATGACGTATTTTGTTTGGTCTGTCAATAGGCTTGGTTTTCAAGTTTCATAAATATAACTAATGTAAAATACATAAAATTTATCCATTACTATGAAAAGAAAATTGAAAGATTACCCATGATAAACTAGGATTCTATCTTTAATAAAATGAAGAATTTTCTCAAAATATTCCAGGTATCTCATGTTGATCACCTGACCCCTGTAAGAAAAAACAATTAAGAATGTTTTTACAAAGAAATATGTTCCACACAATATTTAATTTCAAAGTTAATTCAAAAGGACAATAAGAGAGCTGGGAAATTCGCTTGTTTGCAGCCAAAGAACGGGAGAAACAAACACCTGTCTAAGCAAGACTGATGGTCAGCGACTGGGCTTATGCTGGTGGGAAAGGCACCAAACTCAGCCCTGGAGATGCCAAAACAGGAAGAAAAGTCCTCAGGTACTTAAACGGGGCTCAGACTTGTATCCCCTTATGGATCCTTTCCCTTTTTCGGCAATATGCTCCCTCCTGCCCCTTGGGGCTCCTGATAGCACTAGGGGCTAATACTCCTTCTTGCTGTCCAGCTTAGTAGCTGTCTTCATCTCCTCTACCACTCTAAATAGTATTTTCCTCCCGTTTCTATCCCCACCCCCATTTTTAAAACTCTCCCAGAACCTCACGTACAGCCAACACGCCGATGTACCCATCCAGCTGACGCACGTGTCCGGCAACACACATAGCCAACTGCTTCCCGGGCACCGCTCCCTGGACTCCCCGCAGGCGAGTCAAACCTCAGGTTCAGGAACTCACCCCAGCTCCCCAGCGTGTTCACCTACGTTCTGCCCTGGGGCTTCCTGGCCTACTGGGGCAACCACGTGCCCGCTCGGCAATGGGACCGCGTGCCCGCTCGGCAATGGGACCGCCTACCCGCAGCTTCACGCTCGCCCTCACTTCTAACCCACCCCCAGTGTTCCGACCCTGCCTTCTCAGTATCCACTCTTCCCCTCCAGCTCACTTCCACAAAGCTTTCCAGACCTCGGGACCAGTGCACCGGAATGTTCCAGAACTTTCTAACCAGTCCCACGCCTCCAAGGGAAGTCGCTGTCCTCTCATCTATTCTGCCACCTGTGGCCAAAGTGATCACCCAAATGTGTAAATCTGTTCAGCTCACTTCTCTGCTTCTGATCTCTGAATGACTCTCTTTTATTTCAGGACAAAAAGTGCCTGAGCATGGATATGTTAGCTATATTTGGGGGGAAAAAAGCTGTTTATGTTTCAGCCTCTGCCTGTCTTTCCAGCCCCGACTGCTGACAGCCCCTTAATCATAAACTAACCACCAGTCATAATGAATTAGTGATACCTCCCTGACCATGCCTGACTCACAGGTGCGGCCATGCCTGACTCACAGGTGGGGCCATGCCTGACTCACAGGTGGGGCCATGCCTGACTCACAGGTGCGGCCATGCCTCACCCACCTCTCTGCTTGCCATCTTTCCAAACAGCATCACCTGAAGGCTGGACTGGGACCCCCACCCCCACCCCACCCCCCACCCCCGCCCTCCGGCATCCTGTACACGTGACCACCACCACTCTTAACACACTACACGGTAGGCTCATAGCTTAGTGAGGTCCATCTTCGTCACTAAGCTACAAGCCTTCTGCCGTGAGAGGCTGTACTTCACGGCTAAATCACCATCATGCTGCACAGCACATGGAGAGTGGCCTTTAGTTAAAGCTAGTTGAGTCTACCTGTGAATGTCACAAATTATTCTGCAAGAAACAGGAATATACAAGTCACAAGGGGAAAGGAAATTTATTTTCTAGGAATTAAAAAAATAAATGTCTTAAGAACATTTCCATTAAACTTAAATGTCAAAGTTGTATACTATACTATTTTCTTGATTCAGGGTTCTGGAATTCGAAGCATTTTAGATGTGACACAACTACCACAGGTGTAAAATTTACCTAAAATTAAATTCAGTGGGTCTGATACTGAAGCTGATACTCTTTAATATTTGCTCATCATATATCTAGAGGGTGGCTAAGCACATGAAGGGTCCGGTAACGAGGTGAGCACTTCACCCACGCCCCTAACTTGCCAGAGCCTCTGGACAAAACAAAAGCTCTCCAGCTAACCTGGCTCATCCTCCCAGGAAGGCAGCTTAGCACCCAGACAGCGTTTTTCATCCAACCGCCTTGGGTGTTGCAGGGTTGGAAGGGGGAGTTTTTCCCCTCACCACAAGAACTCCCGATATTATCGGGATCTTATGGTAATGTAATATTCTCCATCTAATTACTTTCTATGATGTTTTAGGGCCCTTTAAAGACTGACATCTAGGCAAAAATCTGGCACTCTACCCTTCACTTGAGTTCTGCGGCAAAGAGCCTGGAGAAGGGGCACAGCATTTCTTTCCGCAACCAGGCTAGCTCAAAGGAATGCGGGAAGGACCTTGCAGGTGCAGAGCTGATTTGTGTCAAAAAGTCACCGAGGAGGGAGCACTGGGCTGCTCGTGGTCTCCATGAACTGACGATTTAAAATAAACTCCTATGAGAACAGGAAAGATAAACAGAATGTTCATACCTGATCAAATTGATGTGGTTGTTAAAGCCTCTGCTAAGACTTCGCGCTGGCATCTGATCCAACCATAACACTGGCTGGTCTGGGTCCGCAATCCTGTAAAAGAGAGCTTATTGAAAAACGAAGACCTGGGCTTCCCCGGTGGCGCAGTGGCTGAGAGTCCGCCTGCCGCTGCAGGGGACGCGGGTTCGAGCCCCGGTCCGGGAAGATCCCACATGCCGCTGAGCGGCTGGGCCCGTGAGCCATGGCCGCTGAGCCTGCGCGTCCGGAGCCTGTGCTCCGCAACGGGAGAGGCCACAACAGTGAGAGGCCCGCGTACCGCAAAAATAAATAAATAAATAAATAAATGAAGACCTTATAAAACCTAGAAATGTTCAAAAGCTTTCAAAATAAAACATGTAGAGGTCTTTGGAAAACAACTGCTCAGTCCATTACATCTAAAAGTATGAAACACAAACCTGCAAATTCCAAAAAGATGTTCTAACTGGGCCAAGGAAGACGTCAGTACAGGTTTGCTAGCAGAGCAGGATTTTTCTCATGAAAATGAGTATCAGCGGTTCCCCCTCTAAAATGTAGCTGGTTGGCCAGGCCCGCACTTCAAGCATAAGAAGACTGGTGCACTGAAGCTCGTTCAAAGGTACCACAGGTAATGAACGATATGCTCTTCCAGAGAGACCGCTTTTTCTACAACACCTCACTTAAAAATGTGCTCGGAAGCACGGCAACGATCAATTCCTATTTCATAAATATTCGCCGAGTGTATTTCAAAGAATAATGATGTCAGGAATTTCTGACAAACTGTAGAGAGGAAAACATAACTTACAAGGCCAATTATTAGTAAATAAAATGGGATTCAAAACCTGTGAACTAGAGGAGACTTAACATTTTCTGACAATGATAAGACGTCTAGCTTATTTTCACTGAAACGTCAGTTACCGTCTCCACTTCACTGCGATGTCAAACATGTCTCTCCACTGCATCAGCCGCGTTTTCCCATTCATTCGAACCTTTGAACTGGTCCACGTACGCTGTACAGCTTGCATGACTTCTAAGGCTGCCAAACCCATGGCTAAAAGAAGGAAATGTGGGGAAAACAGAGTTTGTAGGTACCCTTTAGAGGGAATGATCTTCGCCGACAACTCGGCGAAAGAATCACGGAATCTAAAAAAAAAAAAAAAAATGGTTCTGATGCACCTAGGGCCCGGACAGGAATAAAGACGCAGACGTAGAGAATGGACTTGAGGACACGGGGAGAGGGAAGGGTAAGCTGGGACGAACTGAGAGAGTGGCATGGACATATATACACTACCAAATGTAAGGTAGATAGCTAGTGGGAAGCAGCCACTTGGCACAGGAGATCAGCTCGGTGCTTTGTGACCACCTAGAGGGGTGGGATAGGGAGGGTGGGAGGGAGACGCAAGAGGGAGGGGATATGGGGATATACGTATGCATATGGCTGATTCACTTTGTTATACAGCAGAAACTAACACAGCATTGTAGAGCAATTATACTGCAATAGAGATGTTAAAAAAAATGACAAAAAATTTTAAAGGCAAAAAAAAGAATAAAAATTAAAATAAACCGGGGGAAACAAAAAGAATCACAAGTATTGGTAATTTAACAGGACCATAGATGCATTACATGATGGCCTGACTAAAGCTCAACTCTATCAGAGGAAATTGGAGGCAACCTCACACTTGTCTGCTCCCAATCCTGAAAGAACTGAGGTTCAAATCCCTCCTCACCCTACAGTAAGGAGACAGCTCTGGTGGATGAGCTGTCTGATTTACAGCAATGACTGAAGACCTACCTCCTACATCTACACCAAAGCAACAGCATAAGAGCCAAAGTTGGAAGCACTCTTCTCTCAGAATTCAGTGTGAATGAATCTATACATTTCTGTTCTGATCACATGGAGATTTTCAGTAAGCACAACATACGATTCTTTTCAAAAGTACAACGTGGTTTTACCAATCCTCAGCTCCTCTGTCATAAACACTTCCATTTTCAGATAGTTTTAAAATACCTCTGTGTATTCTCTTGTTTGGCAGGAAACCAGGTGTTTCATACTGCATCAGAGATCCCAAACGATCAGCTACACAAATCAGCTCTTGGACCTCGGGCTTATAACTCTCAAAATTCTGATGTAACACGTCTCTGGAAGAAACATTACGTACATGATAAAGTCTTTTACCACAGATATCTGGTTATCCAGTTTCACCTGAAAAGCAGTCGCTTCTTCCACTGCAAAAATAATCAAGGAACTTCTGACCACATGATCTTTACTTCAGTGGTCTGTACCCAACCAGACACGAATTCAAAGCAGGACTCTTCATGACAGTGTGTGTGTACAGTCGCTGTCACGTGCTTGTTAGTAACGCTGGTAACTAGTCTGCAATTCAGAAGACACGTCTGAGCCTTATTTGTTCTGTAAACCTCTCCAGAACACAGGGACTGCCTCTTTTGACAAGCAACCAAACCCGACCCTACGTCCATCTCCTGCTCCGGCCCCAAGTTACATGATGCCAAGTGTACTTGGGACTGTGTATGTGACTGCTACTGTTTACCCGCCAACCTGCTAAAAGTTTTCATAACAAAGACTGCAATTCTAAGTTACAGGCTGTGTCAGCGTCCCCAAGGGTTTAGTAATTCACTAGGAGGACTCCCAGGCTCTGTGTACAGCTGTACTCGTGGCTCTGAGGACACAGCACAATCGTCAGAGGGAAAAGGCACGTGGGGCGAGGTCCAGAGGAATCCAGGCGCACTTCCAGGACCCTGGGGAGACACGTGGCACTAATTCCCCGAGTGAAACGCTCACTGGCCACGCCGTGCCCAGGGATTGTACTGGGGGCTGACCACGTGAGCACCCCTGCCTTGCAGGTACCCTAGGCCCCCAGAGGAGGGCAGGTGTTCAGCATGAACCACACTGTTCACACACATGGCGCAGGTGCTGGGAGCCATTCTTAGCTCTGGGCACTTGGGGGTAGGGGGAGATCCCGAAATCCCCGTTCCCAGACGCCAGCCCAGGGCCAGCCTGGTGAGCAGGCCTCTCCAAGGACAGCCCTTCAGGCGCCCCCGCTTTCCTGCACATAAGTATTTCTCTAAAAAGGGGTGCTAGAGGACATACATACCTCTTTGAGCAATCTATTTGGTTTTTATTATCTTGATTATTGAAACTTACAAAAGCATACAACCTCATTACTCAACGAAAGGACCTGAACAATTATGTAGCTCTACCTACTTGTATGCCACTTTCCTGTCCTATCCTCCTGCCTCCCAGGAAGAGGTAACTTATCTTGAATTTTGTGTTCACGATTCCTTGACATATCCCTAAACAATATATTCTATGGTTTTGCTTATGAGCTCTACGGGGAAAATGATGTGACCCTGCAGTGTACCAACTTGCTGTTTTTACTCAACTTTATATTTCAAAATTAGTCCACACTGTTGCTTGGGTCATTTGTTTATACTGCTGTATAATACCCCACTATGTGACAGTATCTCATTTATCCGTTTTTCTGTTCATGAACATTTGGGATGATTTCGTTTTCAGTTGTGAACAAAGAAACTGCTATCAACAGGTCTCCAAGCAGACATGTGCACAGGTACATGGTTGTCTCCTGAATATACACAGGAGCGGAACTTAAAGATTGTAGGACGTGCAAATATTCGATTTTACACAATAAGGACAAACTGCTGGCAGAAGTTCATGGAGCAATTTATCCCCCAGTGTAAGGAATTTCCCCATATCCTCCTCCTGGTCAATACTACTATTATCAGACTTTGTATTGCTAATATTTGTTTACCTAGTGGGTGAAGCATCTCATGTGGTCTTATAGATTTATGAACTGAAGCATCTTTTCATATGCTTGCCATTCATGTTTTCCCCTTGATGAAATTACCTGTTCATGTCTTTTGCACTTTTCTAATCAGCTGTTTGACTTTTATTTGCAGAAACTGTTGGTGTTGAAAGGTTTACAGTCAGTCCAATAATTGACCCTAAGTAGGTGATATGACTTTCCTATTTTTAAGATTTTTCTCTTTACCTTAGGTGTTCTCCAGTTACTTATGATGTGTCTGAGTGGATTTTTTTTCGTTTACCCTGCTTTTTTAAAAAAAAATCTATGAATGTGTTTCCTTCGTTCTGGAAAATTCTTAGCCATTATTTCTTCACATACTGCCTCTCCTCCATTTTCTCCTTCGGGAGTTTCAATCACACACACAAGTGTTAGCCCTTCTTACATTTTACGTACCTGCTCTCTTTCAAGTTTTCTAACTCCTTGACTCTCTGTGCTCTATCTTCCAATTCTGCAATTTTCTCTCAGCTACATCTAATCTGCTTTTTAGCCAGTATACTGAATTCTTCATTTCAGTGATTATATTTTCTATTCCTAGAGCTTATGTTTTTGGTCTGCGGCATGTGGGTCTGTGGCATCTGTCTGGTCATTTTTTATAATCTCATGTCTCTTCCTCATGTTTGTGATCTCTTAATAATTTCTTCAAGCATTTCATTTGGAGTTATCGTAGAGTCTGTTTTCAACAATTCCAATATCTGAAGTCCTTAAGGGTCAAAGTCTATTGTTTGTGGCTTCTGTTGATTCTCACAAATGGTTTCGGTCATCTTGGTTTTCATTCTCACACTCATGATCTTAATCTGTGGGAATACTGGGGGTACAAATGGGCACTAATTTCTCCCCAGGAAGGATCTGCGTCTGCTTCTGTTGAGATCCTGGGAATGCCTCCAATATGGGATCACTTTAGCCCTTTGAAGGTCAACAAACCCACCCTGCCATGCCTCAAGGCACTCCACTGGATAGGATGCCTTCTTCCGTTAAAATGTGTTTACCGTCCATCACTGTAGTTTGAATACTTTCTCTTTTCTTTCTTTTTAGGCATAGAGGGAGCTGATCTTTACAGATTTTTCCTAATTTTTAAGACACTGCTAGACTGCCAGGAATTAATTTCTGTTCTAAATCTAATTGTTCTGTAATGGGATAGCCTTTTAAGCATATCCATTTTGCCATATTGCAGCAGTATTGGCCAGTGCTGTAATTTCAGACTTTTAATATGTTAAGAAATTTGTTTTAAAGTAACATGGTAAAGGAATAATGCATATCAAACGCTACCAAGAAGTATAAGTACATTTGAAGTTACCCCACATTAGCAGGGAATGTCGCGCTAAAAGGAAAGACGATGCCCAAAGGTAAGCTAAAAGAAATATTTGCGGACATATCCAATTCAAAAATAAATTCATCAGAAACATGAATAGAAAGCCATTTACTACTGACCAAGAGAGATTATGATGAACTTACAGCTCAGTGTTGAAAAAGAAAAAAAAAATCTTCACTTAAAGCGCTCACTTTGAGAGTTGCACTGACATATATACACTACCAAACGTAAAAGAGATAGCTAGTGGGAAGCAGCCGCATAGCACAGGGAGATCAGCTCGGTGCTGTGTGACCACCTAGGGGGGTGGGATAGGGAGGGTGGGAGGGAGACGCAAGAGGGAGGGGGTGTGGGGATATATGTGTACGTCTAGCTGATTCACTTCGTTGTACAGCGGAAACTAACACCACATTGTAAAGCAATTCTACTCCAATAAAGATGTAAAAAATAAACAAATAAATAAAGCACTCACTTTATGTGGGGTTGCAGCCCTGGCTGCTCTTCGTAGTCTTCTATGAGGAAAGGCAGATTCTTAGCCCAGTGGTCTTTAAAGCTCCCGGGCAGGTCCGCGTCAATGTTATATTCCGTAAGGGGAGTATCAAGGTGGGCATGAAGATATCGAGAATACTCTGCAGATGGGAAATGGGATCTGACACACCCGGATATGCCAAAGAGACGGTTTTTATAGCTAACTGTAATTTTTTATAGCCAGTCTGTACAAATACTTCATAACAAACCGTTATTTAATTACGAGGATTCTGGGACTTCCCTGGTGGTGCAGTGGTTAAGAATCCGCCTGCCAGTGCAGGGGACACAGGTTCAATCCCTGGTCTGGGAAGATCCCACATGCCGCGGAGCAACTAAGCCCGTGCGCCACAACTACTAGGCCCGCACTCTAGAGCCAGCGAGCCACAACTACTGAGCCCACACGCCACAACTACTGAAGCCCACTGCGCCTAGAGCCCGTGATCCGCAACAGGAGAAGCCACGGCAATGAGAAGCCGGCGCACCGCAATGAAGAGTAGCCCCGGCTCGCCACAGCTAGAGAAAGCCCGCGCACAGCAACGAAGACCCAACGCAGCCAAAAGTAAATAAATAAATAAATTTATTTTAAAAAATTACAAGAATTCTAAATGGAGACTCCAAATTTTAGCAAGTCACTCTTATATGATAACGGAGGTGGCCTGCCACTGACTTGAGTTACCAGGGTCAAATACAAGCCAGCCAATCAGGGTCCACTTCGGCGAAATTTTAACCACCTTTCCATAAGCAACACCAAAGATCTCACTATTCGATTCCAGAGTCTGGGAATGCAAGTTCAGTGTTAGACAGAGCCTGCTTCCTTCTCAACTAATAGATCTACGGACTACGTATGCGATGTCATCAACTGACTGACCAACTGCTGCTTATCTCTAGGGACGCGGTGTAGAAAAAAACCAGGATATGGAGTGCCCCCAGCTTCAGTCTATAGTCCACAAGTCCAAGTTCTCCTAAACCAGGAAAATAGAGGGAATTACAATTTAGAGTAAAGAGCTGTGCTATCGAAAAGGTAATCCCTAGCCAGCCGGCTACTGACAACTGAAGGGGTGACTAGTGCGGCTGAGGCACTGAACTTTAGATTTTACTTAATTTGAAGTAATTTAAACTTAAAACTGATATTTTATTCAATTATTAGAAAACTGCCGTAGGTTTGGAACAACTTACGTATATCAGTCTACTTTTACAACTTTAAACTTTATGAAATCTACGTTCAGATCAAGTATTTCCAATGAAAATTTAGCGTCCAAATTGAGATGAACTGTAAGTGTAAATTATAGGCCATATTCAAAGACTAGTACCAAAAACTGTAAAACATCCAATAAAGAGTGCTTTCATATTAATTATATATTGAACTAATATTGTGCAGGTACCAAGTTAAATAAGATAAAATATATTATTAAAATGAATTCCACCCGTTCGCCTTTACTTTTTTAATGTGGCTACTAGAAATTTAAAATTACACACATGGCTTGTAAATGTTTTCACTTGGACAGTGCTAGTACAGAGGGCTAATGATAAAGGAAAGAGAAGGAATAAAAGTAAAGATTTGGGCTTTATATGAAAAACAAAAATGTCTTTGTGTATGGCAGAGAAAGGGTAAGACTGACTAATAAAAGGATAACCCAAAGATCTGCTTTCTTCTTCATCTCAATTTAAATTCTCCAAACTATGTGGGAATTCTGATATGAAGGAATGACAGTTCAAAGATACCAAGTTTTTATTTAACAGTATAAACCTCATAAAATGTTCCTTTCCTGTCATTCCTATATCTCTGGATGAGGTGTGACAAGTCATGGATACCCAGATGATTGTCACATTTAGGTCGGAATATGTTTTTTTGGCATAAGTAAAATTTTTTAACTTTAGAAAGAAAAAATGTGAGGAAGAGGGAAAAAAGAAAAAAAAAAGCACTGGATCGGCCTTTAGAAGACATGGGCTCGTCCCTCTAGTCCAGATACCACCACTAGCCAAGGGGCAGCTGAGGACAAGTCACGCAGCTGCTCTGAGACTCAACTGCCTAACACGGAACATCAGAGACACAAGCAGTATCACTCCTACTCCAAGCACTCAGCGTCAGTGATTCTGCAGCTGTTTGACTTACCTCGGAGATACTTCACTTTAAGGTACTCTGGGCTGGCCTTCTGGCCTGGGAGAGGGTCATTTAGCATAACTTTAGTTTGTGCTTTTATCCCTTCATAAAACTGTCCCATTGCTACGTGGCTGAGTCCTTTCATGTACTGGCACACCTCGTTATACGGTTCCAGCTGCAGACACCGCTGAGGCATCGAAGGAGAAAATGCTGTATTAGAATCGATACAGTTTAAGGAAACTTTAAAGTACTTTCTTCTTTAATCTGGAATTAGGGAAGTCTTCTCTCCAGGTTAAATCAGACCAAATACATCCTCAGTAAGTCAGTCCACAGGACCAGGCCATGGTTTTTTCCTCTTTCTTTCTGCTGAAGTATAAGCACTATTCTTGCCCGCCCTCCCCGCTGACCCCATTCACTTCACTGAACTTTGTTGAAGAATGATGCAGAATTGCAGTTACACTGCTTCTCACTTACGGATGCTCACCTTGAAGTTCTTAAGGGCTTCCTGCAAGCTGCCATGGTGGTAAAGCATCATTCCCCGAAGCTGGAGGGTCTGCACGTGATTTTGGTTCAGCAACAGAGCCTTTTGAAAGCTCTCAGTGGCTGCTTCAAAATTGCCCAGCTCTCTAGGTGTTTAACAATAGCAATGAACATAGTATAGGCATTTCAGTAAACATACAGAATAAGTTATCCTCAGAATTATGGTTCAATCTACAAATACGATACTTTAAGGTGGGTGTTTGCTTTTTTATTTTACCACTTTATAGCTGCTTAGCCTTTGACGCATCACATCCTACTTGCTTTTTCTAAATCTTACCAGATTATAGGATCACCACAGAGCTCTTGAAATTCTTTGGGGGAAAATTAATTTATTGATTTCCAAAGACAAATGCTTATTCAAATCCCTTTCCCCAACTCGTGATCAGCTCCAACCCCTAAAAAATCTTTGTGTAAATTTTAGTTATCTGGATAGAAACATATGTTTCTCCTTTGGAAAAAAGTAAGTAGGTTATAATCATACAGAGGTATAACATTGCGAATCAAATTCATAGGCTTATAATTTAATTTTTTCTGTCACTGAAGGTACTTCACTTAAAATCCAGTAAATCATTATCTACTTTAAAATTCTGAAATAAGAAGTATATTTCAGAATTGTGATCATTTCAGAGTGGAAATGGTTATTACTGACCAGCCTTGCCCTCTTTTATATATCAACATTTTTATAAATAATTGAAGAACCTTCAAAATATCCCATATGTCAACTTTCTATAAATAATGAAGATTTAAAAAATATATATATAACACCCACTTACATTTCTACAGCACTTTACTATTTACTAGGTGTTTTCAAATCTGTTTTCAATTTATATACCCAACAATTTCGTGGGACAGGAAGGATAAATATCATCCCTTAAACCTAGAACAAATCCAAACACGCTTTGTCCAAGTTAGTATGAGAGCTTTTCCAACGATGGCATCAGGTAAATAAGCTCTTAAATGTAATCCTTCCTGAATAAGGCACCTAACAGGGTTTAACAGGGGATTTCCATGACTGTCTCTCTCTTTCCTAACTTTTTTATAGCACCTTTACACGAGTCAGAATGTTAAAAAAAATTTTAAGCCAGAAGTCAGAATGGCTTTGCTGGTCAGGGCAATGCATGTAGTCAGGAAGCCAGGGTCCAGGCACAACTACTCATACCCTACTGAGATGCATCATAACTGTAACATTTCCATCCCGCAATTCTAGGAATCTTCAAACAGATCCTAGTGATGTGGGTATTAACCTTAGTTACTGCCTAAAAAGGCAGCAGCGTCTGTAACTCAGCAGCTTATAATGCCACTATTCAAAGCAACAACTCTTGAAGGACTAACGTCTTCTAGACTAATATATACAGACCGAGGCTGTTTTAAGACACAGTAACAGGTATCACGATATCCTCTTACCCGTGGTTCTATGTTCCAGAGAAGATCTTAATAAGTATGTGAATGCCTATGTGATTTAGAACGACCGTCTCTTTTGGTTAAGAAATGCATTTTTTTTTTAAAAAATCACTATTATTTGAGGCTATCCCACTCTACGCCCTCCCTCCTACCCCAACTATTAGTACTTTACTTACCTATAGGCCTGCCCCAGGCTTTTATATGCATCAATAAAATCAACTTTCTGCTTCAAAGCTTCTTTGAAGGATTCAATAGCTTCCTGTAAAAAGTATATAGAAAATTATTTCATTTGCTTAACTGTTAAAATTGAGTTTCTCTCAAATCACTAAAGGACATATATATATATATATATATATATATATATATATATATATAAAATACATGGTCTCTGAGTACTTTTTTTTTTTTAAATAGGAGGACTTAAAAAAAAGAGAGAGGTAGAAAGTACAATAAACTATGAGTCTGGAGGATTTAATTTCAATAGTAAACAAATGCATTACTATGAACAACAACAGAGCCTTAAGTTTCTCCTTCCAAAATGGGAAAACAGCTTCTCACTATCTTTTTCATTAGGGCTTTAGTACTGATCACACCTGCATTTTAACATCAGTTCCTTAATTCATAAAAACCCTATGGAACAAAAGTAAGCCTAATAGCTGTGTGAAATGATGCAAAACGATCACAGCTAGCAGCATTTGAAAGTGAACCAATAGAAGAGACAAAAAAAGCAAGCCCAATGTGAAATTATTTATAGAACAAGAAGAAAGGCTCCCAGGATAGCTACCTGAAGGACTCCCATGATCTACGAGGAAAAAAGAAACCGTAAAATTCAGGAGAAACCTTCAAGTTGGGGGCAGGTGGGCATGACTCCTGCCAGCACAGCTCAAGGCGGCACTAAGGGCCCAGAGCTGCACCCACTATGCTTTCAGGGGAGCCCTCGGAACCACAGTGCACTTGGCCGCAGGGGGACTCCCTGGGGAAATTGGTGGTAAAATAAAAATTGGTGATGAAATGTTTCAGAATAAACATCCTAGGCTTACACTGGGATTGAACGTACTTTTCATTATGACTCTATTTATTGTGATTAAAAAAAAATTACGAAGACATTTCCCACATTTCCCAAGGAAAAGACATATCTGACTTAACGGCTATAAAGGCTCACAATCTCTAAGAGCTTTAACTGAGAGACACTTGACTTTAAAACTTCTGGAATAGATCATTTCAACCTGATTAGAGAATTCAGAGCAGAAAACCACTAAAGATATCAAATGCCTTGCCCATGGTAGGCACTCAATAAATATTTAATGCCCCGGTAGGCACACAAAATAGTTTTGCAAAAGCTATACAATCTTGATTCTTTTCAGAAAGTCATTCAGCCCCCGCTCCTTGATTTTCTCAGAAGGGGCCAGCAGGGCAAGAGAGGCTGGCTTTGAAACTCTTCAAAGGCAATACTGAGGACAAAATTGCCTCATGAAGGAATGCCACTGAATAGCTACTGTTTGGGTGAAAGATGAGAACGGATAAATTTTAACACCGAAGAAACGTAAAAGGGCATTCTTCATCGGGCTTCCTGCCGTGACATAATCTCGATCTTTTAGGATTTGTACAACTGTGCTTTTAATTCGACAAACATGTATTGAGCGCCTACTATGTGCCAGGGATAGCAGGAGGTAAGGGGACACGAAGATGGGTGAGTCATTACCTCTGTACTCTGAGAACTCACAGTGTCATTAGAAAGCCAAGTAGGTAACCAGTTTATTAGAATACAAACTAAGAGCTACGGCAGAGATGTGAGGAAGAGGCTCTGGGAATAAAGAGAAAGAAACCACTAAACTGAGCCTGGGAGACCAGAAGAGGCTGTACAGAGGCGCTGACAACTGAGCTGGGTCTTAAAGAACGAGGAGTCTGGTAAAGCAAGAGGGCATCTTGGACGGGGCAGGGGGCACCGCACAGCGGCACAGAGTGCTCACCGACGCTGGGAAAGCCGGAGGGGCAGGAGTGCAGGGGGCATGGGGTCGGGGGGAGTGGGGAAGAGGGAAAGCCGGGGCCAGTAGGAAGGAAGCAACGAGGACTGGGGGCTCTGAGGAGGTGTGGGACCTCACCAAATTTACTCTTTGTAAACATGAAAAATGCTGGTAAAAAAGGAGAAGACACGCTGGAGAGGGGAGAGGATGGGGCCCAGATGCGAGGCGGCTGTGATGGAACAGGCAAGAGATAATGCAAGCTCAGATCGAGACAGTGCCTCTGAGGAGAGGGAAAGAAGGGTCAAATTCGGGAGAGAGTTTTAAAGGCAAACTAAGAGAAAATCTGGTGGCTGTCTGGGTACGAGGGAGGGATGAGGGAGAAGAGAGGGCAGGGAGAGTCTAGGCTGAGAGCCCGGGTGGAGGGAGGCGTTAAGGAATGTTAGGAAGTACGGGGAGGTCGTGAGTCCACTGGGGCGTGTGATGTCTGGGGTGTTTGTGGACGTCTAGTGGAGATGCCCGGGAGGCGGCTGCTGCCCACCGCACTTACTGCATGCTTGGACGCCACAGTTCTTCAAAGTCTGATTTCTCTTCAGCTTTTAAGTCTTTGGTTTCGGGGTTCCTGTCTAATCACTGCACAGCTCTCTACCTCATTCTGCCAAAGAGGGGACATAGCAGAATCAAGATTTTGAGCCATTGGGAACAAAGAAACTACGTTTGTTGAATCAATCTCTAAGCACATGAACTGGCTCTGAATTTGTTGGCATCGTGAATGCAATCATCACCACTTAAGTCACCATCTTCTTTACTAGCTAAAGGGCAGCCATCGCCCTGGGGCTGTTCGGTGTAACTGAACAGAACAAACGCAGGTAACTCTCAAAGTAAAGGCTTATAATATACAATTTTTGAAATATCCTTACAACATGGGTAGAATTCAGTAGAAAAGTTCTTGCTGTTCTACTCCCTAGGAATTTCCAAAACGTCTGATATATCTTCTGAATTGGACAATTGTGAAACTTGTCATGTAATAGATCCTAATATATTTCTAAGGTATTATACCATAAAGTAAATAAGCCATCACCCGCTCTGTTTCTAAACTGCTGTTGACCTGGAGAGACCACCTTTAGGGTACAGAGCTAGCTCAAACTCACTGGTCCCTTTAATACTTCGTCTCTACAGTTAACGAGAGAAAGAGAGATATCTGAACTAAGTTCATTAATTTAATTAAGGCATTTCACCACTGACTCAGTTTTCCAATCTCTGTAACTGGGACACCCTCCGCTCCTTCTATACTTCACGGGGATGCTTCTGGGATGAGTGAGACGCTACGGAAACACCCTGACCTCCTCGGACGGCAGATCTATAAAATGCAAAGAAAAAGTCCCCATCTATTACACACGTTGCTGCTGTGTCGGTGGGCATGGTGAAAAGGAGGGAAGACCAAACCGTTTGGTGAGACTGGTTCACTGAGGGGCTGCCAACACTCAGAGAATGAAAGCACTGTTTCTAGGTCTTCATCCGGGAGGTTCGGAATAAACCAAACTGAATTTTGGTCCATGTCTATTTTCTACTTAGTGTCTCTGTTATGGCTCTTTGCTGAAAAATTCTCATTTCGAAATAACACAAAGGGCCCTGCCCACGTTCCTAAACATGGCTTTACAGTTAAAAGTGAAATCAACTGTTTGCATTTGTTTACTTTAAAAATTATCTGGACCCTCTTAGTACTAATAATTGGCCTTTTTTTTTTTTTTTCTATTTCAGATCTCTTTCTCCTCCATGTGATACTCAAGGGAGAGACTCTGAACACAGCATTGCGATTCTCAATTTTTTAACTGAAGGGGACTGAGAGAAGATGAGAAGACAGACGGCAGAGACAAAACAAACTGGAAGACGTCACCTGGCAGCTGCTCAAAGCACATGTTAAATAACTCAAAGCCTGCACTGCCTGTCCGAATCCTCAAAGGGGGACGGAAAGGGTCCCTGTTAGGACCACCTCCACATATTTGCAAAACGGAGATGAGGTGTATGAAGTAAGATTTGCAAAATTCCTTCTAGTTTGGTTTTTAACGGACGGGAGTTATTTTTTTAGAATCCACAAAACTTCGATGAAATTACATTCTCACATGTAAAATAATCTGTATCATAATCAATACCCGATTCTGGTTTACAGTTTATAAAGGGCTTTTCACACGTGTTGTTTTATGGAAGCCTCACTCTCATTCCCAGAGGCAGACAGTAGCGTCATCTCTGCCTGGTAAATGTGGAGAGACGGGCTCAGAGTTCAAGCAGCCGCTTCAGCAGTGCAGTTAATAAGATTCAGAGCGAGAGCTCAGAGCAAGGCCTTCCAACTCCAATTCAGCTCTCTGCCCTTGACATGCATTTACCCCACTGATTCTTACTGAGCACCTACTATGTGACAGGCACTGTCTGTAACACGGAGGACTTACAACTTGTGGCCTTTTTAGAGGTAAACCCTCTCCCCACCCTCCCAGTGTGTGTGTTTATGTGTGTGTCAGATCCTCAGAACTATTTTTAATAATAACACGCGTGCTCTCTCTGCCAGAGTACCCTTCTCTGCCACAGGTTGTTGAAGCTCTTCCCACCTTTCCAAGTTCAGGGTTAAGTGCAGCCTACTCTGAATTCTCCACCTCCTGGTCAGAATGAGTGTCTTCACCTAGGCGGGCGGGCAGACCGTCTGTGACTCTCAGGCCGGCTGTCTTCAGTCGGGCAGTTTGGAGTGTCAGGCCTTGGGTGAGAGCCAGAGCTCCACTCTCAGCCGTGTTTCTGCCCCTCACCCCGGCCGGAAAGAAGCTGCTGTAGGACAGGCTCCCCAAACAGGCTCGGAGAACGGAGAGTCCCGGGCAGGAGGAGGGGCAGGCAGGCTGGCAGTGACGTCCCTGCCCCACTCAGCTGACACAGAGCCTCTCCTTTGTCCCTCGCCTCCTTCTTCCCACAGCAGCCTTCAAGGGACAGTGCTGGGACCGCTCCTGCAGCCCCCAGAGGATCCGAGGCAGTCTGGCCGCCCCTGACCTGAACGTGGCCAGCGACCCCCTCAGCAGTCCCCCTGTCCCTACCCTCCTCGGCCACCGCTGTATCAGCAACCACTTCCTCAATACAGATTGGGTCTCAACTCTGTATGTCCCCCCAGATCTAGACTTCACAGCCCCTCTGGGCCTAGCAACTCAAGTCGGCACCGGAGACCTTTCAGGGCCCCTCCCCGTGCTGCAGCCCTTCACACTCAGCCTGCCTATTTGCTCAAGGGCCTGACCACGGCCCCGCCCCCCACGTCATCACTCACACCTTCCTCTCGCCCTCAGAGGCCCTTCTCCTTCCCAGCCCTGCTCTGCCTTCCAGGTCAGGACGAAGTCCACTTGCTCTCTGGACCTTCCCTAACTCCCGAGTTCAAATGAATCTTTCTCACCTCTGCTTCCAAAGCACTCTGCTTCTACTGCTTTCTTTCGTGTGTTCACCCTATGATAAGTTATCTGTGGCGAAAGCCTTTGGAAAGTGTATTCGTCCCAAGTGTAAAGCATTATTTCTCCCTTATAACCTTTCGCCCTCTCCCCTTCTGCACCTTCCTCCAAGTACCTATCAGATAGTAGGCGCTCAATAAATATCTCGATGCAAACGACTTTCTAAAATAAACCAATGAGACACTTGAGACGTCATTTTAAAACCTGCCAGACTTAACCCCGCTCAGTTCACCGCAAAGGAGAAGCAGGATTGCTGTAGGTACACGTATTGCGCAGCACTTTCACCTTCAAAAGTCCTCTGTGAAAGAAAGTTAAACCTTTGTATAGCATAGCTATGGGCTGGTTTTTGTTCAGTTCTAAGGACTGCTGAAAGTCTTCGTGGGCTGTTGCATAGTCCTACAAAAAGGAGAATGAAAAAAAATAAATAAAGTAGTATTCGTTAGACATTTGGACATGTCCTACTTTCGACTGATAGAGGAAAAGAAATCCCAATTTAGTTTGTGCCCTTTCTGGCTTTAAAGGAAACATTTCATGACCACGAATATTAGAAGAATGCTTACACTGTTTGTTGAAAGAGTCGATTTCAATTGACAGGAGAAACTCACAAAGGTTTAATTTAAGCACACTGTCTCAGCCGCAAAAAAGAATATTATTTTAAATTCAATTAAAGTCATAATCTGTTACAGAAATTTTACAAATTATTTTCTGGTACTAGCATTTTATTATACTGAATTCTAAAATAATTAGGACATAGATCAACCTTAAAATGTGTTATGTTGAGATTTTTTAAATCTACTTTCTTTTGCAATAGAAAATTGTTATTAAAATGACTGCAAGCCCACAAAAATAGCTATGGCAGTCATAAATACCACTCTGATGATAAAAGATAATCTTGCTAGATTGAGAAGCTACAGTCTGGGAAGCCGCATTAGTTCAGGTTATGGTTTTCGGGTTGGGATACCCAAAGAAATTCAAATTGCACCTCTAAGTTTAACGATCACACATTGACAACATGCATACCTGCTTCTCTATGCTGACATCCGCAAGCACAGTTAAGGTATAATCTGTAAACCAAATTTCTCTTCTTCTGTTTCTCACTCTTTCTTTTCTCCCCCAGCCCAGAATTAGTTACTGCTGACAGTTCAAGCAAGAAAACGTGTTCCTGGTACTTAATATTTCTCCACTGGGATCGACCTCAGCTAAAGAAAATGCTTTCATAACTGTCTTGTATCACGAGCTATTATAATACAGCCCCAAACCCAAATCTATCCAATAGCAGCTTTCTGAAGTAGAAGGAAAGGCGAAATCTTTATCATCATGAAAGGGCATGTTTTAAGGCAAGAACAATTCACCTCTGATATGAAGTACAGGGTCCCGCGGTGTCTGTACAGCCGTGCTGAGGGCTGAAGTTGAATAGCTTTAGTGAGATCATTCACTGCTTCATTAATTCGTCCCAGAGGGGACAGAATCTATAAACCCAAAAATGTAATTAGGGGAGAAAAGTCCCAACGATCGCCCCTACAACCGTCAATGTTTCTGACTTTTCAATTCCGCTTCACCACCCCACATTCACAATGTGACCCTCTCAGCAGTCTAGAACCCTTGACGCCACGTAGTATGCAGTGAGGTTCAAAGTCAACAGCTGAGGGGCTGCCGATCTTGTCCAGCCAAGGGGATGCAGATGAACTATGACCATGGCAATTGCCTTGCCATTGTTTCACGTTCTAGGTCAAAGCAGATGTGGCTTTTCTTGAAGTGTGACCATTTGTTCCCCAACCTATCATTTACCTTTCAAAACAAAATTTGGCATGTCAAATTAATCTGAAGGATAACTTTGAGCCATTAAAATAGAGGAATTGTTCAACACGGATTGGAGTCCTCCGTGGCGTCTAGCTATGCCGTCTGCAGTATTAAGTGCTGAATGGCAATTTCTAGGATTCCAGGTGTTTTGTAAGCCCTCTTCTGTGAACGACTCTCAACTCAGCAGTCATGATCTGCAAGGCCGTGAAGGAACATCTGCAGGCCTGTTCTGAATGCCCTTTTGATGGAGCCATCGGTGGTGTTCAGGCAACAATGACAATACAGAAGACAGCTCAGAATGCAGAAGTTCACCCAAATGACATAAGAAAACCCAAAATGGGTATCAGTATTCATGCAATCAAGCTCAAGCAATTTATCCGGAACAGATGTCCTTAAATTAGGGTTAATTTTGTTCTTATAATAGGTCATTTCCGTCAAGTTTTACTAACTGGTTTCCTCCTCTGCAGGAGCTTAAAAGCAGCAAGAGAGGGAAGATTCCGGCAGGCACATGACCAGGGGCAAGAAAGCTCAGAGAGAGGAAAGAAATGGAAAACATGCCCTTAGAGTTCAAGAAGCATAGGGGTCTAGGGTTATATTTTCAAAGGAAAAACATCCCAACCCAGTATATTAACCCCTAGAGACATAAGTGAATTATCACACCCCAGCACAACAATCAATACGCATAGTAATGACCAGAGTAACTAAAAAAGGTTAAATTATGTTCACTACATATAGACTATTTCAGAAAGTGTAAAAGCAAATGCTTTCTTATAAAATAATTCCTGACGTATATAAATGGTATCCTGTAATTTAGCTGGAAGAAACACTATGTCGTGACATTATTGCCTGATGATGCCAGAAAAGGGGGATATTACTATATATATTTTTAAGATCATTGGAAATCACTTTTCTGATTACTAACATCATTTGGGGTACACAGTTAGCTTTTTATTAGATATACAAATTTTTTAAAGCTGCTAAATCAGTCTTCTTTCTAAGTGTGCTTAATTAAATTCATGCTTTATCATAACATTTTAGCACAGCATCAGCGTAATGGCGGGGAAAAGCACAGTACCCAGTCCCTGGAGCAGAAGGTCACCAAGTGAACCACCAAACGCTCACCCTAAAAACCAACAGGACTCTCGTGCAGCAGCGGACAGATTACGGTCACTTAACCCTTAGGGTTACAATCCAGAAGTGCCATGAGAAAACGAATTCTTTCATTAATTGAGAAGGAATTTCCTTCAGAAAGCCAAGTCCCCAATAAAACAAAAAACTCATTTTAAGAAACTGAACTGTAACTTCAGACACTATAATTTTGAGAACATCACAAATGCAAACATCACAAATGCAGTTTTAAAATTACTAAAACACTTAGTGTGCCCTTTGCTTGCTAAGTTTTCTCCCCCAAGAGAGGGGGAAAAAGTCATTTGTCCCTTTAGTCCAACTATGAAATCCCACCAGATCAGATAATTAAAAGTTACGTTTTATTCAGATTGAAAACATTAACATAAATTCTAAAGCATTTCACATGGTTAAATGTGCAGTAAAATAAATACAACATGAAACCTGGATAGTTTACTATTGTTTTATGAAAATGGTAAAATGGACCCATTTCATTTAAAAGGGGTGCCTTTGCACACATTCCTTTCTCTGGCCTGAACGCCCTTCTCTACCTTGCTCCCCAGGACATGGCTTCTGACCAGCTCCAGCATCACCTCTTCAGTGAGGCCTCTGCAAACACCACCCACGCCTCTCCCCTTGCCAATCTGTCCCAGGGCTCCGGCAGACCACGCTTCTCTGCTCCTGACCAAGCAGCCCCTCTCCCGGTGTCCACTGTCACACCCGTTACCTGGAACTGTCACCACGTGTTGCCTCTCTGTCTCCACCGTGAGTCCCAAGTTCCAGTTATGGTCACCCTTACCTGACCTACATGTCTATGTAGATAGGTATATCTCATAAAAATTACATCCAAGTGTGCGCGCCCACACGCACGCACACACACACAAGCACACGCACACACACATGCTTCCAAAGGCTATAAATCTCATTTGACCATACTGTCACATTGTTTTGCTGAAGCAAGTCATGTATACAATAAACACGGTGACATATTTTTCAACAAACATTGACAGTGGTAGTACACATCAAAACTGTACACCTTAATACTAAATGTTACTGTTATATGTTAAATCAGGAGTATCACTCGGCCCATAGTTTTCTAGTAATTTCAACTGTGTTTAAGGGCGTTATGTATGTATGGAGGAAAACACAATAGGTATGCGGGAGTTTTAAAATTTCTCAGTAATAAAATAATAGGAAAAAAATCTGAGATTCGACTAATCCAATAACAACAGAGGGAAGAAGAAAGCCACACTCACTTCTGCTCGCTGCTCAAATACCTCTGGACGATCTGGTTCCAAGGTAATTACTCGGCTCAGTTCGAACAGAGAAAGCTCAGCATTCTTAATGTCCTTGAAAAGGCATTAGCTTAGTATGAGATACACTGTTCCTCAAAACCAGCTTGAATAGATTTTCTGAAAAAACTAATAATTTAGCAATGACATAACTACTTATTTAGAAATAAATACGAACTTAGCTTCTAAATAAGAGATCGGCCAAGTTAAATAAGCTCTATTACAATTACTTAACTCACTCAAGTCTACCTACCCATCAACAGCACATGGGACCTGGCTACCTATCCCAAGTTCCACAGAGGGCAAGACATTTTCTCAATTTAACCTATTGAAACACCACATCAACAAATTTCAAGGGATGAGCATGTATGGACACCAGTGTGCAAAATGATGCTGACCAGTGGCAATGAGGGAACAGAGAGGAGCCGTGTCAGCGTCAATCAAAACCCCTAGGCCTACACACCTACACCTGGAGAAGTCTAGGTAAACCTGTTCTCTTTAAAATTTACACATTACTTTATATCAAAAATATATGAGCATGTTACTTTTACATTAAAAGTGCATTAAAGATACAAGCAAATTTCACATCAAGATATAAAATTAAAAGAGATGAGAATGAGGAAGAAGCGCTTTATCGCTGACCTTTACTAGGGCAACTTAGGTCATTTACTGATGCCCTGAACCTAACTAGGGCTATTTATTGATGCTCTGAATGTAACATTGTTTCCTTCCTAAACATCTTCATTCCCAAATCTGAGTTCCTGCTCAGTCTTCCTTCTCAAGTCTCAGAAATATACAAATATTATACAAGATTTCTCCAGTAGGCTGGCAGGCAATTAGGACAGTTTTTTTTAATTGGCAAAGATACAAAAGTGACACTTCTCCCTCAAGACATAATTTCATTTGAATATTTTTAATAGAAAATAATAGAAAAAGTTTACGTAGAATGTTCAAGACTGAAAATTCGGACATCTGATCTTAGACCACTTCGTTATTTACTATATACTCTCAGGAAAAGTCTTCATTTTTATACCATAGTGCCTTTGTTTGACCAAAATATATTGGGTTGACCAAAAAGTTCATCCGGGTTTTTCCGTAACATCATGAGACATACTGTTATTCAAAACCAGCTTCAATAGATTTTCTGAAAAATCCAGTAATTTAGTAATGACATAACTACTTATTTAGAAATAAATATGAACATCTTATGGAAAAACCCGGACGAACTTTCTGGCCATCCAATACTTATTATAACCTTTCTCCTGCGTTCCTCAGAGAAATAAGGGGAATAAGGCTCCAGAGACATATCTATCTGGGAAAGTATAATGTATGGTAACAAATTAAAAATAAATTTTACAGAAAAACCTTTGTTCTTTTATTCAACCTTTAAAAATTGTGGAAGGAACTCAGATTCTAAGTCCTACTACACTACTGATGCCCCGTCTCTCTTTTACAGCAATGAGTGTTTCTCAGGAATTCAGTCAAGGTCTCGTGTTTTTCTAGGCTTATGTCCAGCTCATCATGAAATAAAGTTTAGGCTGCCAAAGGCTGTCCTTTTGGAATAGAAAGTAACCTCAGGAGACCCGGGCAGAAACTCCCATCCCCCCACATCCCAGCCACTTGATCTTGGAGAAGTCCCCTACGGCCATGGTCTCATCTGTGAACTGGAACGACACCACTGCGTGTTCCCTCAGAGCCCGGGGAGCGGTGAGGGGCTCTATGGGAACCCTGGTCCGAGTCTGATCACGTAGACACTATGGCAGGCATAACTATTCCATACTCACATGTAATCCCTTCTTTCCATAGGCTATCCCTCGGCCATAAATTGCACTAACCAGATCAGGTTCCTCCTATTCAGACCAAAACAGAAACACGTCAAAAACCATAAACAAAACAAAACAAAACAAATCAGTTTCTGCTTAAAGCACGTTAATGCCACAAATGACAGCTCTACATTATGCTACCACTACTCATGTCAGTCAATACACAGTCCCCAACCACAAAAGTCTATATTTCTAAAGCTCATTTGAATGAGACATGAATAAGAGTTTTACATCAAAAAAAAAAACAACACTTAAAAATAGAGAAAACCAACATTACTGAGCGCTGTGCTAGTTTCTTTCGCACAGTCGTCTTACTTAAAATGCAATCCTCTCAGCAGTTCTATGCTGGGCCACCAGCAAACACAGCTCAGAGAGAAAACGGAGGTTCGGAGAAGCAGATACAGGAGTAAAGGGCCTGGGTGACACCCCCTCCTAGTTGGTCTGCTTTCAGGTAGTCATGAAATCATCTGAAAAGCAGAGAACCCGTCGGAGCCAGCACAACAAGGAACAAGAGGTGAGTCGACTCCACAGACTGTTGGGGATTAATACAGTCCTTTATTCTAAGGGGTCAGAGTGAGAACCAGACCCTTTCTGCAACCTGCTCCCATGTGGACTGGACGCAACGCCTCTCAGTCCCAAGGACAGGGCGTCTGCTGCCCCTGCCATCGAGTCCCTACGTGTGGGGCAGTGGCGTGAACTCCCGTCCTCATCTAACCTGTGCAATTCTTAGCCTCTTCTCTGAATGCTTCCCTGCATATTTAAGAAGGAAGAGTACACAGCCTCTGGCTATAAGGTCCTGAAGGAAGAACCTGACAGGGCTACAGCAGATGAGCTATTCTAGAGGCTAATCTATCTATTATCATTTCAAATCTGAGATCGGGTGTCTGCGGGTATTGCCGAAAAAGACACATCAACTTCAAGGATGAGAAAGTGCGAAAACATAAAGGATAAGATGCTGTGCACGGAAAAACAAAAAAAGGCTACTATAAACAGAATCAGGTACATCACCTCAGGTAGCAAGTGGGTGCATCGCTGCCTACAGCCCAGCCCGCAGATGGACCTCATGGTATATGGAGAATTGGAAAAATTCAAGTAAATAATTACAGATTTCTAGCTTCTCTTGGAAAATAAAAAAATCCAACAATGACAGACCCACATTCGGGCATGGGAATGTGAGAACGTGACAAAGACATAGGCACCGGCTGCCTATTTCGATGAAGGGCGTGTACTCACCAGCTTACCATGAGCCCACCCTTGGTCTCTGCACTACGTCAATTCACTTTGCTCATCTAACGTGTTTCTCTGGCTCCCAGAGAGTTCTGGGTCTCTGATTCATAACGTATGTGTAGCCGACATGAAAGGTTGTCCACGCTAAATTTGCTAAATGGGAAAAAGTATGAGTGACAGAACGAGAGAGGAATGGTAGTCACTTCTGATAAATAACGCTTACATAGGATTATGTGGGCCAGTAGGTGCATAGAAAAAAAGCTCTAACAGTAGTTTTCTCTAGAGAGTGGGATTACTAGGTGTCTTCCTATTCTGCATAATACGCTGATGCATTCCTTTTAATTGTTTAAAACAAACACACGTACAGTTATAATCAGAAAAAATATGTGTTAAGTAAGGCATATTACAGAGAATAATAGAAAACTACTGTCAACTGAAAATATCGTATTTAAATAAATAAAGAGAAAATTTATTATAAATTATAGAAAATTTAGGAGATGAAGAAAAGCTCAAAAAATAAGGTAAAAGGCATCCTACAATCCTGTCACCCAGAGATAACACTAAACATTTAAATGTTCCTCTGGAGAATTCCCTGGTGGCGCAGTGGTTAAGAATCCGCCTGCTAATGCAGGGGACACAGGTTCGAGCCCTGGTCCGGGGAGATCCCACGTGCCGCAGAGCAAATAATCCCGTGCACCACAACTACTGAACCTGAGCTCTAGAGCCCATGTGCCGCAACTACTGAGCCCGCGTGCTGCAACTACTGAAACCCGCGCTCCTAGAGCCCGTGCTCTGCAACAAGAGAAGCCACCGCACTGAGAAGCCCACGCACCGCAATGAAGAGTAGCCCCAGCTCGCTTCAACTAGGGAAAGCCCACGCGCAGCAACGAAGACCCAACGCAGCCAAAAATAAAAATTAAAAACTAATAAATAAACACATAAATATTCCTCCTGGCTTAAAGAAAGGCAGAGCAAGTAGTTTGAGAGAGGGATACAGGTACAGAGGGTGAGGAGAAGCAGGAAAAAGAGTTCCCCACTGAGGAATCAAAGTCAGACGGTCTTCACGTTTTTCCCTAGCAACGGCACCTGCCAGAAGACAGAACAGTCAACAGAGCAGCACCTCGGCCAGGCTGGGTGGGGCTGGTGAGCCCACGCAGCTCACGCCTGCTGATGACAGGCCTCCAGGGAGAGGAAACCCCACTTTCAGAGAAGCTTTTCTCCTCAACTGAGGAAAATTTTATACCAGATGACAGGAGGTTAGTTAGAAAAAAGTGCATTTAAATAACGAGTTATTCTACTTGCGCGACGGACATCTCCATACACCCAGTGGTCACTCCAGCCACCCTGGGAGTCGTCCTCATGTCCCCAGCCAACATATCTACTCAAGATATCCCGGTGCTTTCACCTGCTGATCGATCAGCCACTGTCCAGTTTGCAGCCTTCCCCTCTCACCTGGCTACTGCAATGGCCTTAAGCACGCTCCTGTTTCTTCCCATCCAGTCTCCAGGCCCACACTAAGCCGTCTCAGGGTGATCATGACACTCCCCTGGCTGAGACTGTTCACTGCCCCCCAGCACCTACACTAGCAAAATTCGAACATTTCCACTCTCATCCACAGTAGGAAATACATTTTACACCGTAACCCAGTACACTCATACGTGTATACATAAACATACACACAAACACACCAGAAACAAGTGTCACTAACGTCGCATCAAGAGCCTCACTACACACAGTGTAATCTGGTACTTCCTCGTCTGGTATGTTTCATTAAAAAAAGCTAGTCTTGACTCACCAATTAATTTCAGGGCCCACTAAAAGGTAGCGCCTCGTAATTTGAAAAACAGTGAGGTAATATCTAAACGCCTTTGCAAAAAGTACTGATC